ATTTTGCTACCTACAACACATTGACAGAAGGTGACAATGGATCTTATTATAAGTTTGTTGTAGATGCCTGATAATCATACCGCAATTGCCATCTTTGTGGATTGACTCTTGAAGCAACTTCACTTAGCCATGATACACTCAAATATTGATGTCCCAATACTTGTACAAGTCTAATTTGATACTATCTTTTGTCACCATGGATTATCTTGTGTCATCATTTCAAATTAGGATCTATACTTCACAAAAAGTTTTTAGCAAGCCTTGTTCAAGCTACTAGGTATACAACTTATTATGTTTACAATCTTTCATCTCCAAACAGATGGACCAATAGAGCGTGCAAATTAGACCTTGGAAGATATGCTATGAGTACTTGTAATGGTTCATCATACTGATTTGGATGAATACTTGACTCCCTTGGAATTTACTTATAATAATAGTATTTAAATAAGTACCAGTTATTTACCATTTTTCCTTAATACCAGTCAACATTTGATTATGCTAGCAACTCTCTATTGTCCCATCAATATTAATAACTCGACAATAGAGGAATTTATACAATGGCCTTATAAAAGACATGACACGGCCTCCTTACCATACAGAATTGATAGAAGTAGTATGCGGATAACGACCAACAATACAAGACCTTCCAAGAGGGTGATCAGGTTTTACTCTTCAACGCCAACTTGCTACTTGTTACATTAATCAAAATCCATAAACTAACACCTTTGTGGCTTAGATCTTTCCACATTTTTATAGTGATTTTTGATATTACATATTCCCTCAAGCTTCCACTACATATTTGGATCTATCTAATCTTTCATGTTTTGCAACTAAAAGAATTTCATACCAAGTCAAAGCACTTTCTGGATTGACACCAACCACCACCACCACTAGTTATAGTTAATAACCAACAAGAGTATAAAATAGACAGCATTTTGGAGCATTGCTACCTTTGCCATGGCAGTGGATGTCCAAAACTTCAATACAATGTTTTTTGGAAAAGTTATCTCATCTACAATGTAATGTAAGAACCTGTACAGAACCTCATCTATTATCAAGAGATAATTTGGAAATTCCATTAGAAACAAAACGAAGATGTTTTGTATTAGTGGAAGAGGATTAACTGTAACATGATATAGATACGATATTTGTATTCTTAACATATAGGGATAGATAGTTAGAATCATGTTTGAAAAGTTATGGAAGTTTCTAGAATTGAAGTTAGATTGGTGGATCAGGTAGGATCCACCATAGAACATTCTAAAAAGAGTTTAGGATAATTATTTAGGTGGGATCTACTATAGAACCTTCTAGTAAAGGCTAAGAGTGGTTATCTACTTGGAATCCATTATGAAACTTTTTAGAAAAAGCTTAGGGGGGTTATTTAGGTAGGACCTATTGTAGAAGCTTTTAGAAAGAGTTAAAGCAATTATCTAAGTGGAGTCCATCATCTAAGAACATTTGAGAAAGACCAGGGTAATAAAATAAAGTATAAATAAGACTAACCAAGTTCTTTTGGAATATATGATCAAATATAGCTTTGAATCCTTTCTCTTAATATAATTGGATTTTGTATCTTCATGTATTATTTTGTTTTGTTCTTATTTTGGTTGCTTAGTTTTGTCTTTCATATCCAATTTTGTTTAGTTCTACTTAATTTTGTTTTGGTCCAGTTTATCTTATCTTGTGATGAAGTTTTATGTTGTTGTCGATTAGAAGGATCTTGGGTACTTGAAATAGACTGGTCTTGTTTCACTTATATTCTCTATAATACAAGTATAATTCTTTTAGTTGATATCAAAAAAATTCTTAGTTGGTGAGAAATTTAAAACATAGCATATTAATTTACATATGTTTTGGCTTTAATGAATAAAATTTTAAAAACTTAAAAATTATTCTTATTACTTGATTTGTTCCTTTTTAATTAAATCTTTGTTATTGGAATCTTTCAAAAAATTGATTATTGCATGCAATGGCTTAAGCAATAACTTATTTGAATAAATTTGTTTCTGATATTGTCAATAATAAAACTTTGATATTATTTTTCAATTCATATCAAAATTGATTAATAAAAGTTTTTTATTCCAATCTACATCGCAAGCATAGTTTTAGAATTTAATTGCATAAATAGTAATTTTTTATAATTCTTATTATAAAAGTAAGAGTTTTATTTTTACTATTCTTTTTTTATTACATTCTCTAGGAGCCATAAATACTTATAAGAATGAATTTAGATCTTATGAGAGTTATGAATTCTTTTCCATCAAAATTAAAAATCAAAATAGAATAATTTTAGATAAGATTGTACATCTGAATTTAACTTAAATAAATCCATTAAAATATTAAAAAATATAGATATAAATTTAAATAGATTTTGACTTACTGTTGAAATTCTTAGCATTTTGATATTCTATCAAACTTCTCTAGCATATTAATCATTGTTTTTTCTATACTTATAATAGTAATATTTTTTGGATTCAATTGTGAAGTTAATCTACTTGCCTTTGTTAAGTGTACTTCTTAGCATAAATATTAAACCTCATTGTTGATTTTTTTATAAGCATAAGAATAATACTTCCATGAATAATATTTGTAATATATGACATTTCTATTCTAAAAGTAATGATAAGTTTTTAAAGATGTATAATAGTTACAAATCTATTCTTATTTTTGTCAAACTTAGCATCTACAATAATTCTTTTTATTTTTATAACATATAAATTTTAAAAAATTATAAGTTAAATTTAAAGTAGATAATCTATAACTTCTATTATTAAATGAGAAATTCCAAAAAAAAAGTAGTCCACTCTTATTTAAAATATATATATTAGAAAAAAAAAATTATAAGTAATCTGCAATCTTTAAAGTTCAATAAAAATAAAATCTTATAAGGCAAGTTTGACATGTGTACCACATAGTGAATTTCTACCACAAGTGGTCAATATGAGCAACATGTAGCCAACTTGTTGGATAAGTGTTTTATCTATGGATTACGTATAGATACATGTAAAGTCGAGTCCTTGTTTTTAAAGCTTTTAAGAAGCTTTTTCACAAAATATTATCAAATTTACTTACTTCTACTTAACTCCTCTAAACCTAAGTAAATATGTATGTCTATGATATGTAGTCTACTTTGTATATCTTTTGGATATATGTTTTGATCAATGTCATTTTTTACTACATCAAAACACAATGCTTCAATAAATAAAAAAAATCAAAGAAATCAAAATATTTTTTAAAAAATAATGAGTCTTTTATACATATTTACAAAATTTGAATTTTATAAAATATTTAAATGCTAACATTCTTAGATAAGATTAATTTATGGTAATTTGAAGGTAAAATTTGTCTTTTTATATCTTTTTTATAAAATCATAAAATATAAATTTTATTTAAAATATTATAAAATATATTATTTCAGATAAAAAAAAACATATTCTTTAAAAGAATACATCTTTGATGACTCAAATACATTTTTTAATGCCTTACCAATCATATATTATGCATTACCATGAATGTAATTGTTTTTGGTAGCTTTTGGATTCCTTCAAATATTTATCTTTAGACATGAAAAAATTAATCAATTTTACCATAACATATTGAACTTTATTTTTTTATTTTTCTTTTCTATATTATTAACTAAGATGTTTTTGAAATTAAGATTCTGATGTGAAATTTTCTTTTCATGTAAATAACATATTTTTTTTGTAGTTTGACTAGTAATATCAATAATAAAATAAAAACACATTGATTTTTTTTAACATATTATTAAAGTTTTTTTTTGCATCAATTCCTTTCCAAGATATAAATTTTTATTTTCAACATCATTATATTTTTTAAAAAAAATATTTGATGAGATTAGAATGGTTTAAGTTTGATAGAATATCTACTTTTATAATAAAAAATTTATTATAATCAGCATGCACCTTTTTAGTTGTACTCAAAAGTTCCAACTAATTTAAATTATAAACTTCTCCATAATGACCTTTGCTTAAAAGTTGTATATTTTGAACACTATTGACATCCTTTAAAAATTCTAAAACATCAAATTTTCTACCTTGTATATGATTTGATTCTTTTAATATTTGAAATAAATATCTTATTAATATAAAATATTCACCTTTGCTTGTCGGGATCAATCTCTCATATAGATTATGATCATTACTTTTTACTTCATTGTAATTTGCGGCATTAACAATATCAAATATAATATTCTTAAATTTTGTAGGATATTACTTTACACATATTTCACTTATTGCATTATAACAAACACTTCAAATCCTAATGGAATTCTTTGAAGGTTTTTTTGTTCTTCAATTGATAAATAATCACATAATACCAATTTTGTTCTTTACAATATTTTATTAATAAATATTTTTTATTTACTATAAGAAATAATTTATAAAATATAAGCCTATACTTAAAATTATTATTGTTATTATAAAAAAAATGAGTTGTTTTAACACCTATGTAACATGATTAAGTTTCTTACAAACATTGCTTTTTGAATAATATGTTTTTTTCTTTCATTTTTTTTTCTATTTGTTCAATATAAATTATACATTGTCTCTAAATGTTGTTTAATTTAATCTTAAATTTTAAATAAATTAAATCTGTATTAAGCATAACTATCATATTGGCTACAAAAAATTAAAATTACTTGCTTTCAAATACCAATTAAAAGCATCCAAAACATTAATAAATACTACAGGATTAATTTCAACAAAACAGCCATAGTATATTCCTACCAAATATTTAAACCTTGTCCTATTGTCACACAACCACTATTAAACACTATCTTTGATTTAAAGTAATATCCTACATATTAAAAACCATTTGTAAAAACTCAAAACCAAATACTTCACTTAAATAGATGGTTTTTGAGATTGTAATGAATAACACAATATCTCAAACACATCAAATCTCTTATAATTTGATGATTACTTGATTTACATAAATTGGATGACTTACAAACATCAAAAAATTATACATTACATTACCTTTCCCATTACAAGATATGTTTTATAATTGATGTTAATTATATATCAGCTATATAGATATAAGCCATATTATCAACAACCTATTAATTTATTTAAACTCAACATATATGAACAAATATTTCTCCACTCTTGTAAGCGTAAGCTTCGGAAACTCTCTTCAAGGATTGGAAACATACCTCTACATGGGCAGGTTCCACAGCATCAAGATTTTCTTCTAGAAAGTTAGGAGAATTAAATCGTCACAAATGTTTTTCAAAGCTGAGTTTTTCAAAGCTGAGTTATTAACTTCTAAAGTGCGACATATGCACAGATTCAAGCTATCAACCTCGTCACGCTTTATCAATAAATCCCAAAGCCAAGGCAAGCCAATGTTACCACATGTTTATAAAAAAAAATTAATTATTCACGTAGTTTACAATATGACCCACATAATTACCACCTAATGTGAACGGAAACCGTCCAGAAAAAAACCACTTTGCAGTCGTGGATTCTTGGTTCACACCGCCAGACTCGCAAAATCCACGAATAGAAACATGGATAGGCGTTGGTCAAGGGATCTTCACACCACTAACGGTATGAGCCCGCGTGTACAGATATAAAAGTGACGTGGCTATTCCCTATAGATGATTAAATTATATATGGTTTTCTGAAAGACATTCATCCAATGCGCGAGGGGGGGGGGGGCTCGGTCGGTCCTCTGCGACGTCTTCGTGTTCCTCGAGCTTGTTGCCTAAATCCGAAATCCGAGAGGTTCCATTGCCGCTGACAAGGCTTCGATTTTTGTCTTGTAATGGTTGTGAGAGCTGGCGACGCTCTCGTAACTTTTTCTCGTGGATTTTTGCAGATTTTTCGTCGTGTTTTGATCTGTTTTCGGAGCTGTGCGGTGGTAGGAACAGTTTGAATCCAACGCCGCTGGAGGTGCTGGGTTTGATTCCGGAGTTTTCGTTGTTAAGTTTTTTGTTCACGGAGCTTGGCGGAGTCGAGAATCGCGAGGTTGGTTCAAGGCAAGTGTGGAGGGGTGGTCTAGAAACCATGTGTGATAGAAAAATGGTGTAATTGGAACCGGCAGGTAGGGTTTCTGACTACATATGGGCTCGGTCCTTGAGGCTGAATATCAATGTCGGGCCCAAGAATGCACAGTAGGGGTCCGTAGCAGGGGTCGGAGGTGCGATTTGTGACACAGAATAATTCTCGTCGGGGAATCTATTCTTTTGGAATTTGCTGAGGGCATCTAAGATATTGCTACGGTGTACGCCAGAGTGGCGAGAGCTGCCGGATCATCCTCTCTCCCTTGGAATCTGGCATAGAAGATTAGAAAGTCAGTTCGGTTGTTGGAAGTGATGTCCAAGGCCCGGGTGTACACGGATGTGAATGTTCAGCGTCCGAAAGAGTACTGGGATTACGAAGCCCTTGTCGTCCAATGGGGGTAAGGACACTGAATGATTTCATTGCAGTAGCATATCGCGTGAATTTCTCCCTCCTTATGATATGCACATAATTCCAGCTCATGTATGCGGATCATCGGGTCAGTAAAAGGGACTTTGGTTTAGTTTCAGATTGTCCGTAGTATACTGGTGCTTGTGCTTTCCCTAACAATTGTGTGGTTTCGTACTGCAGCGATCAAGATGACTACGAGGTTGTACGCAAGGTGGGGCGCGGCAAATACAGCGAGGTGTTTGAAGGTGTCAATATTGTTAACAATGAGCGTTGCGTGATCAAAATTTTGAAGCCTGTCAAGAAGAAAAAGGTACAGATTATGGCTATAGTTGGGACTGACAAGAAATTGGTTAGTCATTTTGGCAAAAGCTACAGTCAGTGTTTTGCTAAAGTCTCCATATAGTCTGCAAGTTGTGGCGATTATGCAGTTAATTTTTGTTGAGAGTATTCTTGTTCTGATCTAATCTCTGGTTCTGGCTGCATCTTCTTAGATTAAAAGAGAAATCAAGATATTACAGAATCTGTGTGGAGGCCCCAATATTGTGAAGCTTTTGGACATTGTCAGAGATCAGCAATCCAAAACCCCCAGTCTAGTATTTGAGTATGTGAATAACAGAGACTTCAAAGTTCTGTACCCAACGCTTACGGATTATGACATACGGTACTATATTCATGAACTCCTGAAGGTAGGTTCTACCTAAACTTTGCTCGGCTTGCATTCAATCATTACACTTAATTTTCAGTGTTCTATTTATCTGAATTTTAGTTGTGTATCTGCTTAAAGAAACGTGCTTGATGCGCCGCAGGGCTAAGAAAAATTGTGGCATTGGCTCAATGCTTGATGTAGTCGTGGCTTTGCCCTGTTTCAGGCCTTGGATTACTGTCATTCGCAAGGGATAATGCATCGAGACGTCAAACCACATAATGTGATGATTGATCATGAGCAGCGAAAATTAAGGCTCATCGATTGGGGACTTGCGGAGTTTTATCATCCTGGAAAAGAGTACAACGTGCGCGTTGCTTCCAGGTCTGCTCCTATCTTTTTCTGGTTTGCTCTAGCAGAACTCATTTTCACCGTCGTGCCTGAGTTGATCATTTATTTGTAGATTTGCACTTGAGGTTAGTTACTCACAGACATGTTCACTTAATAAAACCATCTATTATGTCGTCAATTGCCTTGTACATGAGCCATTCGTTAAGATAATGTAACCATGTTGTTATCCTCTTTTAAGCGACGGATAGGTTCCCATTGTGCCTTTCTCTGTACATCTGAATGAGTATGAGTGGTGTGTTAGTGGAGTAATGTTAGTAGTAGATGTAAGCCTGAAAATCCTCTCCATGAAATCTAAGGGTTGAATTCTCTAACTCCTGTATCTTGTGGTGCTTTTATTGCTCTTGTCAGCTTATCTCAGAGTTTTACCTCCATTTCTCCTGTATGCAACTTTATGTTGGTATGAATGTGTGGATGCTGCTTTTGCTCTTTCTAATAACGTACAGTGGATATTTTAAATATAACTCATTCACCTGAATGACGGTTCTATTATGATTTTAAGTACTTGTTCCCTCAGTGTCGTCACGTCTTTCAGGGATGCTAGTTTTTGCTCATATATTGCAGTGTCTCTTCGTGTATTAGGTACTTTAAGGGCCCAGAGTTACTTGTCGATCTTCAAGACTACGATTATTCTTTGGACATGTGGAGTTTAGGATGCATGTTTGCTGGAATGGTAAGGAATGTATTCTATATTTTGAATTTTGCATGTACATTCCTGAAGCCCATTATCCCATAATGAACCAGCAGGTTGCAAACCTGACAGGCTACCATTTGTTTAATTGTAGATTTTCCGCAAGGAGCCGTTTTTCTATGGTCATGACAATTATGATCAGCTTGTCAAGATCGCTAAGGTAAGTTCAATGTTTAGTAAAACGATCACCTTTGTTGCAGTCTTGTTATCTTTGTATGTTTTGAAACTGTAGCTCTAGTGCGGTGCATATTTTGCTTCGAGGATTTTGGATCTTTCTCTTGCTTAGCATCCTGAGAAAGTCTACTTGTAGATGACTGCATGTCTCTCTCATTTTCTGGTTCAAGAATTTTGGTGTATAGATACATGATTTTCATCAACGGATTTGCTTGGTTCCCGTCATCAGGTTTTGGGCACAGATGATTTGAATTGCTACCTTAACAAGTATCGGTTGGAGTTGGACCCGCATCTCGAGGCTTTGGTTGGAAAGTTAGTTTTCATCCTGGTGGGAGTTAGATCATAGACTTCGTTGGAGAATTATCAGGTTTTCTCTAGTATGATTGTTTTGTGTCAAAAGAAACGATTTTTGCTTCAGAGGAATGTAGTGTGTTAGTTACAATCACTTGGTTTCTGATACGTTGCTTGTGATCTGTTTCATGTTTCAGACATAGTAGGAAACCTTGGTCAAAATTCATAAATGCTGACAACCAACATCTGGTTGCTCCGGAGGTATGTGTCAATTTTCTGGAAGTGCTAGTGAAATTACTTACAATGTATTTTCTACATACCTTTTTCACAAAAATATTAATCTATTAACTGGTTAGGTTTCAAGGATGATCTTACGCATTTAGGCATCAGTTATTGTTTCGATTGAAATTGTTACTGATACCCTAGAAACCCTACTTCCATAGTCTCCTACACTAAATGTGTTACTACCATGCACATGTGCAGGCACTGGATTTCTTGGACAAGCTTCTTCGGTATGATCATCAAGATAGGCTCACTGCCAGAGAAGCAATGGTACACTTTTGATAGCCTGAGTCGTGCGTCTTTAAGGATGTTGGTCGTCCTTTGACAATTTATGGAGCTTCTCAGATTACATGCAATTTTTTTGTGACTTACTACAGCGTAGTTCATGCTTCATTACTGATTTATCTCGTATTTCAGGCCCATCCCTACTTCTATCCCTTACGTTCGATGGAAACAAATAACCGAAGTAGTGCCTGAGACAAATATATTCCATATTCAAGTAAGTTCCGTTCTTATGTTTCTTTCTCTGGATTGTTGTACTGTCGCATAGAAGAATTAATTATATCCAAAATTAATATTTACGGCGGTGTCTGATGTTGTAATGTCTGATGTGCACAAAGTTTTATCAACCCTTAGTTGAATATTCGGTCTTTGAGCTACCTATCAACACGTCATAGATTTAATTTAGTCGGGATAAGTTTGTTTACATAGCACATATGGGCATGTATCTTACTCTGTGCATATATTACAGGTGGGTCTTCAAAACCTGGTGCCAGATGAATGACTTAAGTGGCGAACCTGTGTTGGTGAATTTTGGGCTAGGTAGTCTTCCTATATGATTAGATTCTCCCCTTGGAGTTGCAGGGTCATAGGTGGTTAATTAGTTCATGGCATTGTCCTGGCTGAACGTCATACATGACTGCTATCTCCTCGTTCCTGGACTTGCTGTAGGTTCAGTAAATTCCTCGTTTCTGATGTGAATCGAGAAAGATCACTATTCATTGTAACAGTAGATAGTGAAACTACAGGTGCGACTAATATTTTAAGAAGCATTTGGAGCGAAGGGAAATCGTCTCGGCATCTTTGACAGCTTGTGCTCAACACGAGGGCGATTGAAGGACTCCTTTATAGAACTCTTTGAAATCGTGGTCAGTGTTGTTACTTTCCTTCAGATGAAAATCCGATTCAGGCTTCCTGGGCGTTTAAGTGACTTATTTTTGTTATTTCTGTTATATATTGAATATAATTTCTACCTTCATTTTACATGGAGAGAGCTACGAGCTCAGGACCTGGCCTTTCTGACTGGTAATTATTTGCCAGTATCGGACATCTAAGAGGCTGCCCTTGCTGCCAAGGCATCTCAATTCCTCGAACTAGTCCTTACCCAGCTGATTTAGTGTAAAGCTTAACAATATTTCTGCCAGGAATTTAGTCTGCAACTACATATATGAGTAAACATGTGCCAGATACATTCTGTTTCTGCACGTCTACGCGGGGGTGTAGTCTGAATGTTTTGCTCTTTGGATCGTACTTCATGTGATGATAACGGAAATTTACCCTGCATTTCGGGGTCGAAGAATCGAACAGGTAGTGTTAGTGTAGTTTTGTGTATGAAGTTTTTTCGCTGCTAGGCATTTAAGATTCCTTAGATCATTTGTGCAGATTTACACGGTTCCGCACGTTGTCTGCAGTTGGACAGTTACGTGTTCTCAAAGGGCTAAACCATGATGTGAAATGAGAGCTGCTCCATCAGCAACACGCCCCACCACCAAGTCCTAAGCTTGATGCTCAGTTCCGAGCGACATCTCCATCTTTCTGTGATGTTTCTGTTCGAGCGGACATTTTGGTGGTTGCCGCCACTCGTATGTGAAAAGGCACGTGATTCTTCTCACCTGCATATTGGTCATGTCTCACGAAATGTGTAACCAGCTCTTCACACGAGAACATCCCCGCAATCCCTTATGGCTCAATAGCCGAGTCACATTCCGAGCGAATTTGTGACAGGGAATTGAGGGAGCCGTTACAGCTTTTGCAATTGAGAGGAAGAGGAACCATGAGCACCTGAGAGAATTCATGCTGTCATAGAATCCACAGCGATCGTAACACGCCCAGTTCGAGACTCCCGCCTAGGAATAATAGCCAGATCAGTGACTTTGGGACAGATAGAAACATTGTCAGCCAGCCTCGTGAAGTCACTCGCATTACTTCACATTCCTCTTTCCACTCAGATCATCATGAGAACTATGACCGTCGTGACAATTCCCTGGATGCTCGTTCTGACAGTCACATGAAGGGTCGCTCCGACCACCGCATGAGGTCTCGCGGCCCTGACAGGAACAGCAACTCAAAAAATGTGAACTCTTCTACCCTTTCCTCTTCACTTTACATTTATTACTGATAAAACGGTTTCTTCTGATTCCTTACAGCTACTCCAGGTTCAATATTTATTTTAGTTTCTGTGTTGAATTAAAGCAGGCTTTGGAATGATTATAACACTAATTTAATAATTTCTGCAATGCACAGATCTACAGTGGGCGGAATAAGTGATATTCTCTTGTTGTGGCTGATGCAATGCATGTGGTGTAGCTCCTGCAGGTGCATGTGATCATAAGTGGCCAAGTGCAAAGCGTGTTCTACAGGAAGTGGACGATAGAGAACGCTACGAAGCTGTGTCTCAATGGCTGGGTCCGAAACTGCAAGGATGGCACGGTAGAGGCTGTGTTCTCCGGCAAGCCCAGTGCAGTGGACCATATTCTGGACAAGTGCAAGACTGGGCCAATACGGGCGCGTGTGGCGAATGTGAAGGTGATCATGGCTGTCGGGCCTCCCAAGAAAGGTTTTCATCAAATTGGATGACAGGCGCTGGTAGCTACTCAATCACCAGGGAATAGAATTATTGAGTAACGTTGCAGGTTCCAGCAAGTAGGGCTTTTTGGTATCATTTCAGTAATAGAACCAGGGAAGACCAATGACATGACTGCCGATTCAGCAAAATTGTAAGCGTTGTATTGTGCATGTACGAAAGAAGATGTGTGATTTCAGTTTGTGCTCACACGCATATGAAGAGAATTACGAACAGCATTGACTATTTGTGCATGCTGCCGAAAGATTGTACCCATCTGCGAAGAGTTTTGGATGAGTGATCACAGTACTAGTGGTGGGCCTACACTCTTGGCACTGATCATTTATGCAGCTGAACAAAGTTTTGTGCTTAATTCTGTTGAGGCTGTGCAATGATTGTGCCAACTTGTTGAAAGTTATGACTTGAATGTGCAACTTCAGAACTAACATGCAAACCATTTATGGGACTTTGCAAACGCCATTAGGAAGTAGATGAAGACGTTTTGGCAGATAAGGATGTTGAACCAGAACAATTACACATTAGAGACCTGTCTCAGGGTGGGACGAAAAACTTCTAAGATCATTTTAGAGCGGATTTGACCCGCAATCCCGTTCAAATTGGAGGAGATAACTGGTCTTTAGATGGGGTTTTGAAGAGTTTTTTAAAAGGATAAGATCTAACTCCAAATTCCGAGAGTACGCGAATGATGACGTTGCACAGGCGGCCATGGTCATTTTGACCACGTAATTCGTTTGAAAACGAGTAAATTCGATTTCTTTCAGTTTTTGGAAATTTCCTTTTTGATTTTAGTTCAATTTTTAATAACTAACATACAAAATTTGAAGATTTTAAAACTCAAAGGTTTCTGCATGTACATTATCTTATCATGTTTCAAGAATCTTACAACCTTGGGGATATTCAATGCAACGAATTAATGTATAGGGTTGGCAGTGAGTCTGGGGTCCGTCCAGCCAAGGGCATTAATGGTGACATATGCGGCATGCATCAGAAATGAAGTAAAAGGCAGTTTACAGGCAGTTGTCCCAGATGGCAAGCAAGACGAGGAAATTGATGAGGAGCTCATCAACAAGGCTGCTTGCTAAGTTGGGTGTGTGTACACTCAAGCCCCATCGCTGCTGCTGATGCTACTGCTGGTAGTGGTGGTGGAGTTCAACCATCTGGTAACGTCATCACCGAATACTTAACTAGAGCATTCATGGTCAGTCTGCCTCTGCCTGCAACCTGATGAATTGCATCTGCCAATGCTCTCAAGTGATGATTCCTTGCAGCAGCAGCAGCAGCAGCAGAAACAGCAGAACCAGCAAGGACAAAACATGCTTATCGTCCGACTTTCAGTTGCAGGTGGCTGGGGAGAGGCCCAGGATGATGAACAAGCCAAAGCCTGCTGAATCAGGGTCTCAGATTACCACATATGCAGGTCAATACGCCTCGCCTGTGACCTGGTGGCTATTATGGCCTGCGACCTGGTGACATGTATTCTGCTAGCAATGGCGTATGATCCATCTTAGTGCCTTCATGGACTCCAGTAGCGTTGGGAAACTGTGGTGAATCATATACTTAGGTATCATTGCACGGGGAACAGGTCAATGTGGAGGAACGCACACAGGATTGCGGTGACGAATCCAGCCATATTTCCCTCCATGTGGGTCAGCAATGGCCCCCATTAACGCAAGTGGGTGGATTCCTCTGAACCCGGGGAAGTTGTGAAGGTTTTTCCCTTCCGTGATTGCCTTAATATGTCTACAAATCGTGAGGAAGGGTTGCAACATTCCCGTTCTTTGAAGGGATACGGCCGCTTGTTTCTGCTGTATTCAAGCCCTCTCTGTAAATTGCTGCACTAGTTGGGTGAAGAAATATACGTACGCTGTCGGCGCACGACTTCAGCTCTCAACCAAATGCGTACCTCTGCAGAATCAAACCGGTTCATGCTGGTTCGGTCTGTGTTAGGTTAAACTAAGGAAACACTTCGCTCAGGATCTTCGAAATCCCCGCCAGCTCTCCTTGCAGTTGAAAAAAGTTGCACACATGTGCTTCAAAGCGGAATGGGTAAGAAGAGGGTGCCGTTTGGCGGATTGTATCTAATCGGGTCTAATGATATTTAGCACTTATTAATAAAAACTAATCGACCCCATTAAGAACTCCGCTTTTACTTACGTGCAGATCGTGGGGCGATGTTGAAGGTGATGGACACTTCGGGTTCGGAGTACAATAAACAAAACTCTGGTTACTGATATGTGCAGCAATTGATCCCGCCAATAAAGGTTCTTAATGTTTCCTGTGTTTGATTCGAAGTACAATCCTCCTTTATGTTAACAGTACTTACGTCTACAGCTGAAATACGTAAGACCTTGAATGAACACATAACAAAAGGGAGGGGGTTGTGCACATGGAATCGTTCAACTGTTCTGTGGGGAGTCCCTGCAATCTTGAGATGAAACCTGGAAAATGGTTACACAGTCATGTGGGAAACTCTAGAAAAATCACACAACTTGGTAATTCATTTTAACCTCCTGGGAGCATAAGCTTTTGACAGCATGCGACCGAGCTATGAAGTTGCTGCTGCTATGGTACTGACACACCGTTGCAGGAAGGTCACAGGAATCAAAGGACAAGGGAGGCCGGACATATCTGCAAGCGTTGAAAGGCTGCAATCTCCCAACAGCAAGCCGGGAGATTGACGTCAGGATTCATACTCAAAAAACCACTTGCAGATGAGGAGCAGGATAATTAACATCCAAATTGCATATCGGGTTCGTGGAAGAGGACGTTCACTCGAGATTTGATCTGATAAGGATGGCCGGAGGTTGTAAGATGTTTTTCCAGCATTGTAACGACGCCCCTGCTATGTACCGTAAATGTGCTCGCACGATGTTCTACTAGTCTCATTCTCTGACAGACGTCTCCTATTAGGTGGCGGTTGGTGGCGATCCTCGCGCTTAGAGTCCGTCTGGTTGCACCAACTGGCGACCTTGAATCAATCAGCCATTGATTAACCCTCAACAAATCTGCCAACAACTGCTGGGCGCAGATCCACACACACAACTCTCAAGAACTCCATGCACTGCTTGTTGGGGAAAGATACCAAGATCCACAGTCCACTGAGGTGTCATTTGGCATCAACTGCGTCATCATGTCGGTGGCACCATGAAAGAGCATCGCTCTGGGTGCACCGTGGTCTCAAGCTGCCTTATGGCCTGAATATCTTTCACAGTGCTTGCAGTCGGTGAGACTCTTGAATCCTGCGCCGGTGCAAAGTCAACCAGTTGATCAGCCTTTCAGGGTCTTATTCGACCGTTGGAAACGATGAAATGAGTAGGTCGCGGCATGGGCTGAAGTGCCCAACAACTCAAGTTATCATGTCTGCATGTACTTGGGAGAAATATTTTAAGTGGGTAGTAACTTGGTCATGGGGGGAAAAAAGTATATTGCATCAAATGGGTTTGAACTAGATTCATGTGATATTGTGGAGTGGCTGGCTGAAGAACCTGCCGGTCTCGAGCGTTTCGACCATTCTTGCGCTCTACCTGTTCTGACAAACGGAACGTGTTAGTCTTGTGGTGCTGTTTCACATCCTTAAATCTACGCATGCAACGCCTAACCCAAAACTACAAATATACATGATTTCTCACCATCACTTCAAGTCAGAAGTTTTCAATGGGAAACTCGGTAACTGGAGTTCGGATTTCAAGCCGCACGTAGAACCAGTGCATGAAGACTCACAGTCGAAGAACCAAAAAGGGTGAGTGTGTAGGATTTTGCCAACCCTCGAACAGTTCTAAGCACATCTGAAACTGTTCCAGTACATGCAGTGATAGTGATCGCTGTTCCTTATATGTATAGGGAGTGCAATGTCACTGATAGTTTTTGAAGACGAGTGATACAATCACGAATGAAATCGCGTCCAATTGAAGTATATTGTAAATCTACATGCCCACATTCATTGTAAGTTATTTCACTTTTAAAACTTTGACAGAATAACCTCACTAAACTTCCAAAAGTCAGTCAGTAATTTTTTGGGAAGGAAAACTCCCGATGCAGCGTCCACAGACGGTTATGCATGGGAAACAATATCCTGCACATTTGCCCCCCGAAATGCATGATACCTGTTATTGGAATTCCATGGGCCGTTTAAGTGGGTCTAATCATAGTGGTAAGCCCTCATTGCTCCTCTTGAAACCGGTCCTTATTACAACACCTGCCCGAAGGTGACATCCAAAATACATTCTGATTCATGCAGAGCAGTTTACGGACGTTCAGTTCAGAGCCCATCATGGTCTCACATCGCAATCTCTACGTCCGTAAACAGATCTTCTAGCATAGAGTGGACATGCCAGGTCGAAGTCTTTGAGATAAGATTACTTTTACTGGCAGTACGCAAGCTCCAACCCATGCCAGATTTCGAATGCATGCATAATGTAGTGAACATTGAACGAGTTGCAGTGACATTCTGCTACAGTTTCCACTGTCAACGTCCGATCATCTGCCTGATGTCACCATTGAGTAGTAGCTCAAATCAGAAAAGTGTCGTAATTAGCGATAGAGCATCATTATCGACGGCGTAAACAGTACATTGGCGGTCGAAAAATGAGATCAGCTGAATGGGCATGTACCAAGAGATGCTGACTGTTTCATGAGTTCGTTTCTTGAGTCCTTTCCCGAACCTAGAGCAATGTCACAAATCGGCAGTCGATTTGTTATGCGATGTAGCAACGTGCCCAGCAGAGAACGTGTAGTACCTTGGACACTGACCGTGAACTCGATCACCGTAGAGCTCACCGACAGCTAGCGAAACTGCTGCTGTGGATTTAGTTTGCGGTAGAACTACGTGAAATCGAAATGCTTCAATGCAAATCTCGCTTTCTTGTGCTGCATGTTTAATATTGATAGACCAATCTGGACATCTGCAGACAATCTGATTCGATTAAGTGAAAGGTAACTGGGACGACGCGCTGCTGCGCATTTAGGATCTGGGCAGGAAAGTCCATCCATATACCGTCGAATAGTTCTTTCATTTCCATTAGCATCCGAAAAGGTGATACGATCTGATCAACATCCAGCACTATTCAAGATATATAGTTGTAAATTTATTTGACATGAAGAACACCAATCAAAACATTACGAATTGGAATGAGGAATTCCTGTAGTATAAGTTGGACTTGGGAGCGATGGAAACCACGTACTTAACCCTCTGATACATGACCATTTACGACCAATTTCAGGCCTACAACGCCGTGATTTAAAAAGAAAAATGAAATGCATTAATACCATAGACTTCCAGACTCGGTACATTAGCGGCAAGGAGCTTATCTGTCCAAATAGAGAGAGGAAGTCCTGCGGTTATGAAAATAAATTTAGGAGCTAGGGATACCAATCTCTCGTTCAGGCTACAATCGTTCCATTCCCTCCACTTTCTTTTTGTACTCTCGCATTGAACACCGTCACTGTACTATACAGAAAGAGTAGTAGTACCTGAAAGCTGTACAATTGACCAACTCGTGGAGAGGCTTCTAACATTTCCTTAGCGTCATATTGTTTCCCACTGCTTCACACGCCTCGCTTTCTTGTTGAGAGCTACGCTTCACCCATTCTACGATGTTGATCTAATTGAACTAAAAAATCAGGTACAAAACCTTATTTGGTAGATCAGCGTACAAGTGTCAAGCTGCCTCCTCTAGTGTAGCTGATTTCCCGGTTATTCGACATTGGCGGCCTTGCATTGAATAGTGGACCAGGTACTGAGAAGAAGCAGAAGTAAACAATAAGCCTGGTTGTTAAATAAAATTAACAGGATTCATGCAGGTTTCTTTCCGATGGTGTTCTTGTTGTTGTGCATCCACACCTTCAGAACATGGCGCTTTACACCCACTTCAGCACAAAACTCTTGCACGGCTGCCTCGTCGTGCTTCTGAATCTTCCAGCCTAACTTTTCTGCAAATACACCCATTTTCTCCTTCTGTTCATTAGTGAACTTTGTTCTGAATCTCTTCTTCATGGTGGACGGCGATCCGCTCAAGCCACCATCGCCATCGTCCGAGTCAACTAGTCCATGGGCTAGCATGTAAGGCGCGGGTGTGACCCGGCCCATGATCGGCGCTGGGGAAAGAAGCGCTAACTGCTGAGGACCACCAGGCTGAGACGGTGCACCTGGAACCATCATCCCTCGCTTCCTTGGATCATTCCGATTGATGTATTTGCAATCGCAGCTAGTCTCTCCTTCAGTTTCTTTCCTGTGGAAATTCCTGTGACAGTCACAAGCTGCGCATCTGAGGGCTGCAACCGTGCCTTCCTCCCCACCAGGCATGAATTCACCGCAGCCATCCACAACGTATCCACCAGTTGTAATGGCATGGTTTCTGTTACATTCTCTGTATCTAATGACCTTGGCCTTGGCTTTTACACTTGGCGCTTCTAACAGCAATGGTTCGTCCATAGTGGTGACCCCGTTTCCAGTGCTACTCAATAGCTTCAACTTACTGAACTCATGAAGGCCAGCGAAGGTAGCAGTGATTGGCATCGGCGTGTAATCTATTTTATGGGAAACCAGAGATTCCATAGCGTGGCTCCCCTCCACCTCTAGCACTCACGACACATATCAGCCCCTCAACTTCGCTTCCTCCAATAAGTCCATAGAGACTCCGCATCAGTTATGTAGTAGTTACACCCTTATCGCTGAGGTTGGCGGCCAAAGATTGAGTACCAAACTCCTTGCAGTAGCCGCACTGGAACCAGACGACAATCCTTTTTTCGTTGAGTGGGAAGATTGGTGTAGACGTTTAACTATCCTGGTTCAAATAGCTGTTAGAAAACAATGCCAGTAGAGGGAGCCTCGTGTTTCTGCGCCACGCAGGTTCATAAAAGCTAAGACTTGTACATTTCTTTTTGTTGTTGGTGTGATTTCTTTTTCTTTTTCTTTTCTGTTTTTTCTTTTGCTTTTGCTTTCAGCTCTGAGGAGCTATATCTGACTGCCAACTACAACTCCTCCGGAATTCGCTTCGACTGGATCCGTGAAACTTCTTCCGACTTGTTCAAGTAAATTATCACTACACGGACTAGTGCCTGAATCTGAGACAAGTGAAAACAAAGAGCAGGGAGGCCACAGTGCCTAAGACTAATTTCGATCTATGACGATCCCGCTACTCTGAAGAGGCCGAAACAGTCTCCGGGTTTTACGACGGGAGAAACTCAATTAAATCCTTCCACGTACCTGAAGTTAGTCGTCTTCAGTACCAATCCACGTATAAAAACTACAAGGCTTGTCTTAGCTTCTAGCTGAGGTTACAGCACTGGTTTGGAGCTTTCTCAAGACAAGAGAAAGCAGGATTGGCAGCATTCTCCAATATGGTTATGCTCAGCCTTGACTAAAAGCACAGGTAGACTACAATTGTGATGTAGAGAAGAAATATTAGCTCAAAATAGGTGGCCGCAAGTTGGAGACAAGAATTCAACAATATCTCTCAACACTTCGAACATGAGAAGCTCATTACATTACTTGGGCGCAGTTACTTCAGTACAATAAGACCTTAAGGTCTTGAAACTGAGTCTGTCGTACTTCTAAGCATGGAACATGCAGATCAATTGAGATGAAGTGTCGCGGACCCTCCACGTCCTAACACCACAGGAGAGTCGTTGAAGTAGAACTGCTTCAAGACTTGCAAAATAGCACGCTTGCCCGCAAGCGGTTCTTAGTGTCTTCTGAGCAAGGTGGCGCCTGCTCCGCTCAAAGGACCACAGTCCACGCCATACACAGGTAAGCTCCCTCTGATTCTGATATCCGCCCGTTGCCACCACGCAGCTTTTCCTTACCCTTCCACTCCAACCTCAAACTCTGAAGACCTGACCCTCAAATCCACCCCGCACCAATTACAAACCCTACACATGCACACTCACCCCTCCCCCCCACTCCTCCACTCGTGAGCTACACCAAATCCTCGCTTCTCGAAACCAACTACATTCTTCTCTTGGACCCACGGCAATTACAGAACAGATCAAAAGCACCGACATTCAACCAGACCGTGCAACCCAGAACTGCAAATATTTAAGGAGAACTACCTGTTTCTAGAGTTGAGCGAACAGCAGATGGCTGGTTGCTTGAGGAACAGAGGAATCAAATCTACAGTACTACGATGAAAACAACAAAGGAAAGATCGGAAGGAATTGGCGAGACGGCAATGGCATGTGAGAGAGAGAAGCCACGAGACAGCCAACAGCGAGAAGGGAGAGAGACAGAGCGAGCGAAGAAAGTGGAAAAAGGCGGAGGATTGCCAGTGGACGAGCCCGGATGCCTCGGAACGGGGAAAATCACATATGCTCCGCCTGCCTTTAACCCTCCTGGTTATTAAATGGGGCTGCTCCGACCAGCCTCACCGGATCCTCCGGTTCCCACGCCCAGGGATCTGTCGCTCCCCTAATAATGACGCCCGCTCTCACTCCTTCGCATCTCCCTCTACCCCAATCTCTCACTCTCCCTGTCTTCATTTCTTTCTCGTTCTGCTAAGCGCATGTGACCCATCGAAGAAACCCATTCTCCTTACCAGTGTTCCGCGATTGCGAGGTCTTTTCTCATCTGTGACATGGTTGTTCGTTGTTGGAAAGCAGGTAGCCAGACCCACTCATGCACCCATATTGTTTGTGAATGTGTCTGGTTTCTTTCTCTCTGACTCTCTCTCTCTCCGTGTTTTCGCAGTGATTCTGGGCTTCACATCCTCGTGCTCATGTATCGTACGTTGCTCAAAGGAATCCGACCTCCGAAAGTGTGGTGGGCGACACTGGGAAAATTCTTCACCGCAACATGATTATATTGCTTCGTGATTATGATATCATTTGCCAACATTCTCATTCTCCGCGCACTGCATAGCTTCATATCGCTGGGACACAGAATTGCCATATCCCAGCACACAATTTTATGCACGACACTCACCTCAAAAACAATTTCCAGTTGATATCTGATTACAACGCTGCCAATCCGAGAAAAGGACGTAAAGAAAGAAAGAAAAAGAAAAGGATACGTAGGAACTATCCGATTAGTCTACAGAGTATGCCAGTATCATAAAAACGATGTAGTTTTTCATGTATACCGATAAAATGTACTGTAGAGAATCGATCTACCATTGGGATTTAAACAATGTTTAACGACGCATCCCGGTATTGATACAAGCTCGAAAAGCAGGAAAAAGAGGAACTCTCTACTCCTATCTCAATCAAGTCACACCATTTTTTCCACTGTGCCCATCTACCTCACTGTACAGTCCTCCCCCGGTACAGTATACACTCTCCCCCATTCCGATTCTGCCAATCAGTAAATACACTGGTCACCTCAAGGATAATGAGGCTGGACTTTTTCCAGTCTGGGCAGGGAAGATGTGCCCTAATTTCCGAACAAAACCACGAAGAATCCTACATGATTGGGCAATCACGCGGAACAACAGGTTGTGTTTTCTCGCACCACAAACCCCATTTCGTTTCTTTATGTGCCGGCGTGTAGGGCCTCCACAATCTGCCTGGAATGGGCGTGGGGTTATGACGGTTCCGTCCGGAACTGGCGTGGAGGCTGGGGAATTCTCCTCCTCCTCCAACGCTTTTTCCTTGTCCTGAGGTCGATGCCCTTTTCTTCCTTCTCATTCCCCCATCCATTCGAATGCCGCCAGTTATTCATCCATCCACCGTGCAACATTCATCCGATTCTGGATAATAGTAATACTTTTCGTAGAAAGAAAACAATTTACCTAAAAATTGTAATTATTTTCATTTTGGTAAATATTCCTGGAGTTAAAAAGTAAGAATGACATAAGTATAGAATCCATATTAAATATTAATTCAATTATTTAATCACTTTCATCCAGGTGATCATACAATATCTAGTAATAATAATAATAATTCTTTAACAGAATAGGATGAATGTTGCACTTAGATTTTTTAATAAATTGAAACTGTAACATTAAATAATACTCTAACTTTTCAAACAAAAAACCATCTTAATGACCATTAATATATTTCTAGAAAATAAATTTGTATTTTGAATGTAAAAGTTAAAACAAAAACAAATACATTTATTTACACAAACACCCTTATGATTGATAAGAACAACAAAGAAAACTAATTATAGAATTCTATATTTAAGATCTTAAAATATTTTATTGGTAATTCTAAATATTTTATAATAAAAAAATATAATTTTTTATTTTTCTTTTTTAATATTGGCACCTAAAAATACATGTATATATATTATAATTTTGAAAAGACAATGGCTATAAAAATAAAGTAATGTGAAGCTTTAGATAAAATCAATAAATAATGTTTAAAGAGAAGTTTTTTTTAATAAATGAATAAGATATTTAGTTTTATTCCCTATAATTGTATTGAGTTGCAATAGGAGGATTATATTTATCAATTTTTTTTAAAGTTTGGTGACATAACTTTTTTTTATAAAGAAGTTGCCAAAATTAAAATTCTCTATTTTGAAATGTATATCTCTATGTGAAAATATATTTATTTGTTCATAAATACAAAAATGAAAAAATCATACTATCATCCTATCAATAAATTTATATTATTTTTGTATTTTTTCATTTATAAATTTTATAATATTTTTGTATTTGTTAATATAAAATCATACTATCATCCTATCAAAGAGAAAATAATTATATATATATATATATATATATATATATGTATATATTGTTTCTAAGCCATACTCCCTATATTCCCAACCTTCTTCATCCTGACCCCTATCTATCCCCACAATAGGGTGGATCAATTTAGTAAATGGGTGGATCATCTTAATATTTTCCTATATATAGTGTAATTTCTTATTGCATAAAGGTGAAGTTTCTATATTAGAAGATAGTTTCATGTTGCAATAAAAGGATAATAGTTAATTTAATTGTATTTTGGTAAAAGTATGGTAACTTTAAAGAGCAATGACTCAGCATCAAAGGTTTTAAAGAATGATTTTTTCTTCTAACTTCTTTTAATTAAGAAGAAAATATCTCTACATATATATATATATATATATATATATATATATATATGTAATAATAAAGAGATGGTTAAAGATTTGATTTTGTTGTATTAGTCATATTAACATAATTTGTCTTTAATACAAAAAAAAAAAAAAAAAAAAAAAAAAACATAATTCACATACACGACCTTAAATTTTTATTTTAAGTAAATAATACATCATTTATTGTTGTAGATGTGTCTATTTCTTATTAACAAAAATAATAATTTATTAATTTATTTATTTTTTAAAAGTGTCATATATATTGCAAAGTTTAGTTTAACTTTAAAAATGACGTCATGAGCTCAAAAATATTTAACAATAATATTCATGATATAATCTTGAACCTATCAAAATTATTTAATGTGTAAATATTTAGTTGAGCAAATTTAAATCTATAACAATCAACATTCAAAACATATATATATATATATATATATATATATATATCTTGAATTTTGATTTCTAAGATAAGTGAAAGAATCTCAATCACTGTACCTTAAATATTACTCACAATTTTGTTGTCGCAATTTTTCTAAATGAATTCCACGTTGTGCTCACGAAGGTTCAGTTGAAACAACCATCAACACCCACAAAGATACCGTTCCAGGCCACTTTGGATGAACGAACATCCATCCATCAGGAGTTCATTCCAACTGGCTCCTTACCATCGTGCCACATTCTGCATGCCCATGACCATCTTTACCCGGCACGTGTTAGCTTATGCCCTCAACCCCCATTCACGGTGGTATCTTTACCAGTGGTGCCGGGTATCGTTCCCTATACACGTGATTAGGGGATACGGAGCCCTGTGTACCCAATTCCAAAGTGTCTCTCATCTGGGAGCTTAATACCGGAAAATGTAACGTCTGTTGAAGGAGTGGAGTACATGGAGTAGTAGTATTAAAGAATGCAATTGGATTTTGTGATCAGATTGGTTGGTGTATATACTTGGATGGTATGAACAATATGCTGTGAAAGCTGCAGGCAAGACGACAACACCACGTCAACCAGTGTTTCAGAAAAACACAAAAAACAAAATTACATATAAAAACTAACAAATTAACAAACAAGGGGGTCCTATGGCCGTCCCTTGGAACTGCACCCCCCCCCCAAGTGGTCTGGGAACCCCCCAAATTCTTTAACCTACCATGCCGCTGAATTATAATCAGCGTCTGCTTCTCAGAAATGTGTATTAAATAATATTTTAATGTTTTTTTCCATCATAATACTAATCACTATGCTTGAATACAATTAAATTGTCCAGGTTCATGTGCTGGTTTCATTCCATGTTCTCACTATATCCACAAAACCATCCATTCCATAACACTTTTTTTTTTTTTTTTTTTTTGCTGGATACGAAAATGTATGTCATAAGGAAATGAGCTAACAAATTAGCTTAAAAGTTGCATTGCACCCAAGTTGGTTCCTACATATTTTACACACATGTCATGTAACCATCCGACCGCTTCCATTTCTTCTTTTTGAAATACTTTACTATAAATATGCCATAAATTTAAACTCGAATAAAATACTATTATGCCAGGGTTGTACAATTAGTTTTTTGGTCAAACCGAAAGCTGCTGCAATCACTGGCGCCTGGTTTAAACTGCAAAATGGAAATTCACTTGCAAGGCAACTCTCTGGAACCGTAATGGCGACATCGAACATTCATCCAAATGGGTGGATGAACAGATTGATGAAGGAGCGTTCACAGGTGCCCTAGCCTGCCCTGAGCCCATTCGTCTGCCCTGCGAAGAAAGCCTGCCCCTGCTCGCCATCAAAGGCTGCCAGGGTGGCAGAGGTGGCAGAGTGCCAGCATGTCAGATGATGTGGACCTAGTCCAACCCTCATCACTCCGACCCACCTCGATTACAGTGTTACAACCTGCTCTGATCCCTACGCACCCCACCCTCCAGCCTTTTCCTTTTTCATCCGTCTCCGCTTTTATTGGGGCAGCGTTTCTCGCCACCTTCACAGTAATTTAGGAAAGCTCATTTATTTTTTTTCACTCTGGCCCGTCAGGATGGCTACCCGCGATAAATCTGAAAATCTGACGTGGCGAGAGAATTTGACTGTTCTATTTTTCGCGTTCACACTGCGCGGGGCCACATTACCTGGAGAATCTGAAGTTCGCCTCCTAGGGAACATTCCTATTGATCTTTATGTACTACGTGCCACGAGGGCAAAATACTATTGGACATAATTGTAGAGGTAAAATGGGTATTGATAATCAATGTTTGGATGTTTGTTAGGAAACCAAGCCACATGAATGTTTGAGATTTGGTGTTCATTTAGAGGATCAATATGGGTACATTCAAAAAAATTATTTAGTATCCTCACAAGTTGGTAGCTCAAGGGTGATGAGAGTAGACCAAAAATATATGCATATAATTTATTTTACTTAGAATCAAACCAAAGACCTTGTAATTGGTACAAAATATTCGTCTAACTAGAATTCCAACACTTGTTGCTTTCATAGAAGATTAAATGTACTAATTTATGTTGATTTATTTATGTAGATTGATTAGCTTGTTGCCTTTTGCTTGCTTGTTATTGCAAGTTTGCACAACAAATAGACAATAGATCAGAGCATGCCTACACTTGTGTCATACTCATAATAATGAGCTACGCAAAATTTGTCTATAGTGCTTCAAATGTAAATTTTGTTTCCAGAGATTCATATGAAAAATCCCTATAAAATCAATGCTTTGTTTATTTTACATTAGATTATTTATTTATATTTGTAAAGTACAAAAACAAAATCATTTTTCTACATCTAAACAATATATTTTCAATTTTTTTTGAGATGAATGACTCAATGTAAATTAAAAGTCTAAAAAAAATAAAGTGAAATACTTAAGAGATTATTTATTTAAAAGTAAATTATAAAATTTAAGATCTAACTTTACTAATTTATGTTCTTTTGTAAAGTTGGTTTGTAAAGAAAGTGCAATGGTCTTGTGTGTTTTGATATTAAATACATGAAACTAGTATACAAAACTTACATTATTACAAAAATATAATAAATATTTAATTTAAAAAATAACAAAAAATAATATTTATCAAATAAAAAAATGATGGTTCAAAACTTGCATTGGTAAGATTAAGGTGTCCCTTATTTAATTCTTTTGTTTATAATTTGGCAAATTAGTTAATGAAAATTTTATAGAAAATATTTTTTTAAGAAAAAAAACATTA